TATAAACACTGCTTTACAGTGCTATTAAAGGTAAATAGTAAAAGCACACATACTATTTGGATAAATATGACGAGTTCCCAGGGCAATAGCTATATAGATGTAAATATATATGAACAGCTGTTATTTTATTAATCTACGCAATGATCCTGTAAACGTGACTGAGATATATTATTTTCATATACTGTACATTGTACATGATCAATTCTAATATATATAGCAGATGTTATATAGGAAATTTGCGGATATCTTGGTTTAAAATGTTAACACATTCACCCCTGAAATTTCATAATGAACTTTTCCAACCATTTGATTGGAAAAGTTCAAATGTGTCTTCAAGCGTGAAAGGATCAATAAAATATATTGAGTAGCGTTATTAATAAACTTGTCATTTTGATAGAAAAATATTTACTGTTAAGGGCATCTAGGTCCAAAGACACAGCTTATCAAATGTTTATGTGTGAATATGTACTCTGTCATCTTCATCAGACAGACCGATAAAACTGTAAAATATGTATGAAATGGCAATAAAATCTCCATTTATTCATCCACGCTTTAATAATAAACTTTATTTATTAAGGATAAAATACATGTTCAGCCAAAGGCTAATCTTCCACATGGTCCTCTAAGGGTATGTCAACCCATTTGTAATTGTGGTAGGTTTTTAATACTACAGTTATAATTAAATTAAATAATAATAGTAATAGTAATAATAATTTGAGGTTCTTATATACTGGTTTATCACAACCTAGATGGAAGGTCGTCTCAAAGCGGTTCACAAATTATTATCCATGGTTATTGGACCTTTGCAACCAGCCAATATCTTTTTAATCTCCCTGGGGAACATACATCCAGTGCTGCCATTTAGGCGCTCACAACTAGCATTCAACAATTCCAGCACTGCTCCAACCATGTACTCATTTACAGCTGAGTAGACTGGAACAAGCAGAGTAAAGTATCTTGTTCAAAGATACAACACAGTGCCATGATGGGATTCAAACCTGTGACCATTTGGTCATGATCCCGGTGTTATACTACCAGCCTACAGTGCCTCATGATGATCTTATTGACAATTTGATTAAACTATGATTTATTTAATACCTCGTCATAGATGTGAAATAGTACATGAGCCCCCTCATCTCAATTCAGAATATAGCGATCTGTATCTTTTGAACAGGTTGCTATTTCTGTCCAACACTTTTGAGTTATCACTGCAGTCAATTACCTGATTTATGAACCTAGGTGTAACATCAGGTGTAACATCAGGTGTAATATCTGTATACAATCCCTGCTTAGGTACCATATCAAAGAAAAAGGTCAGAAATGAGAAAAATGTCATGAGTAACAACTGTGGTAAAAAGATGAACTAATATCCACAATTGAGAAACTGTCTTTTGATCAATTGTAAATGTCAAGTGGGAAAGATTCCTCTGCTGAAGGAACACATAATTTTGTGTTTCAGAAAGAAGAGCTTTGACTCCGACAGGAGTGTGTGTAACTTGTGGGCGTTTATGAAGATGTTTTTTGTGTTGTTACTGATCTGTGCCGTGTCCGTCCTCATGGTCATATCATTCTGGCTGTCTGGCCAGGTGGCAGACCTCAAACAAAGACTCCTGGATAGTAAGTACCATAGCACCAAACTGTCCATCCTCATAGTCATATCATTCTGGCTGTCTGGCCAGGTGGCAGACCTCAAACAAAGACTCCTGGATAGTAAGTACCATCGCATCAAACTGTCCGTACTAAAACTCAAACATAATCCAGTCCTGGTTATATATACTCCTGGAGAGTACATATGTAAGTACCACAGCATAACATTGAGTTGTGACTTAAACTTCCTGAGGTTAGGTACCATAGCATACCAGAATCGTTACAAGAACTCCAGTAAGGTATGAAAATACCAAAGCAAAAAAAGGCATTATTTTCAAGACTCCTTGAGAGTAACTGAAACTGTAGTATAACAGTCATTGCTTAGTAATCTCCAGACGAGAATATGTTCTAGTTAATACTAAAAATCCAAGAGAGTAACGGTAAGTACCATAGCATAACACAGTCGTTTCTAAAACTGTCGGTGAGAAACTTAAACTCCGATAGGGTAAAGTACCATAAAGCAATACTCTAGTCACCACTAAAAGTCCTGGAGAGTAAATGGCATAGCATATCACAGAAAGTGATCATGAAATCTTAATGTAATACTCAATCTCTTCCCTTTCATTGGCACATTAACTACCTACACCCTCCCACTATAGAGGTTTCAAATGAGGTGTTCTTGTACTGTTTTGGGATCAAAAGTGTAGCTATTTGAAATAAAGATACAGTAGAAATGTAAAATTTCTCATATTTATGTTACAGTTTATATCTACAACCCTACCACAGTTATGCTTGTTCTAGAAACAATCACTGTACTTGCAAACTGTTTCAAATATTTGAAAGATTGTGACCACAATTAGTCACAATTTTGTTTTGGAATATATACAGTAACAGTGGGCGTGGTTCAAGTTATATCTCCCAATGGAGTTCTGGAGCTGTTCAATGAAAAGGAGAAACAAATAGCATGATAAAAATAAAATATTTTGATTTTTTTTTTATAATTTTGTGCAGTGAATTACATTTGTAAATTTCAGCAAGTCTTTTTAACCAATCTAAAATAGCCCTGAATATTACACATGAGCAGAGATGAAATCAGCATTGTTTATGTATGTATGTACATGTTATATGGACATATTTATATGTTAATCTAAATATGCCTGCATCCTTGTGTTGTACCCCTACTATCACTTCAGGTATATAATTTATTAGTTGTTTGTCAGTAAATAGATGTGTAGGTGTGTTGGTTAGCTGTGATATGTCCTAATGGTTAATTGCTTTAATCAGAAACACTTAATATTAAAAGGTTTCCTGTATTTTGAAATTTTGTGAGAATAAAAGGTTATATTTAAGGGATATTGATAATTATCATTTCTTTAAAAACAAGTTCATTCAAGGTAAGAATTGTGAAATAGTAGTATGAACAGTTAAGCTAACAAGTCTTTCATCACTACTCCTACAGGTAAGTGTGCATCGTAATATATCACCTGAATCATACCTTTTTTTTTGAGCCAGCACATTCTCAATAAAATGTACCATGTATACATGTTTGAGCATTGACTCTCATCTTACAGCCCACCATTAGATTTACAGTCTTTCATCAATTGACAGTCTTTCATGATCATCAATTTACAATCATTCATCAATTTACAACCCTTTTTTACCAGCGATTTAAAATCATTCTTTCATTTATTTACAACCCTTCATCAATTTACAACCAATTCATCAATATCATCAACCCTTTATCAATTTACAATTCTTCATTAATTTAAAACCCATTCATCAGTCTCATCAACCTTCATCAATTTACAACTCTTCATCAACTTACAACCTATTCATCAATATCATCAACCCTTCATCAATTATCAGACTTTCATCAAGTAACAATCCTTCATCAATTGCTTGGCACACAATTTTGGAAAGTTTCTCAATGGAGCAATAAAAAGAAAACAAAGAAAATTGTGTATAACAAGGGAAATGCTGTTAAAGGACTTGCCATTACTCATTGTTTACTTATAGTAGAAAGGTATCCACCACTTCTAAAAATAGAAACAACACTTTCATTGTAAATAGTTTATCATCCAGTCTGTTATACTGTGTAAAATGTATCTCTGATTCATATTTGCTTTAAATGTGTGGTGCAGTGATGTGCCTTCTAAACATCAAACTGGGTGAATGTCCTGAAGAATAATTGACCTTACAAGTATGAAACCTAGAGTTCATGATCAAGTAAACCTCTTTAAAAACTTATTTAAGTTGATGAAAGTTATCAAAACACTGTATAAATGATCGCCACATCTTAACCTTGGAGACAATGTCATATCAATATTGGTCTAAAAACATCATGTTACAATAAGTCATCCCTTCATAACAAAGATTTATAGGTCATTCTTCCTTGGCGAATCATAAGAAAAGTATGTTCATGTATATGGCATGGGTTGCAATATTAGACTATTGTAATTGTCTCCCTTTGTAAAACAATAAAATGGCATAATCCAGCATCAAAGTCTACTGGAAAGTTGATTTTGTGTATATTTCCATCAACTCTCTCTGTAACTTCTTTCATGGTTCCTTATCCATAATACATATTTATAATTTACCTGTAATTCCATGGATTTTTGTTTCGCAAACCATTTCTCTAAGACAAAAAGACAAAAATATCAGTACAATATTAATGTATTGCCAATTTTCAACTGTATACACAACCTTTTATGATAGCCTGTTATGTAGCTATATTATTAGTATGTGTACCTCTCTAAATACAAGATGAAAAACACGATTTGAGCGAACAGAAGATATTTAATAAACCTTTGTACTCTATTTTACTGCTTTACATCCATATGTATGGGGGGAAAAAAGAATTCTCTCCTCAATTAACAAGTTTAAGCATGGACTCAGATGGCATATCTAATCTAATTCTGTGGTTTAATATAAGTTGTTATTAATGCATTATGACTGTTCTGTTACAAATATCATCAGGTAGTAGAAAAGTGAACTTAGATAGACTTATCCATTTCCGATGTAGAAATTAAGCACAATTCTAAAAGCTATTTGTAAAATTATCAGGCTAAGTTCAGTTGATTTATTATGAGCAGTAGAGTACATCCCTTAGCTAAACTGTATGACATAAAACATTAATATTATAATTTTACATTTACATTACATTCTAAAGCAGCACTATAAATAATAAGTCGAAATTATATATCTATAGATTCATTATAACAACACACTATACGCTTTACATTTTGATACAATATATAGTCAAAACTAGCAATTCATTTACAAACAATATGATAAAGACAGAGACGTATCTGAATAAAAATTAGCACTTATAATTTGAAATTCTTAGTCCGTTTAAAAAATTGAAATAGATAATAACAAGATAATTTGTAAAAAAAAAATTAAAAAAATTAAAAAAAAAACAGTGAATAGTGCTTAAGTCGCATAATAAAAATATATTATTTCTTGCCAACTGTTTCTCTTGCAAAATCCTCCGAATTCTTCCTGAAACTGTTGCTTTATTTAATTTCTGAATCTCTCTGTAGTCTGGTAATATTTTGCAGACATAAAATAAAGTCTTGCTATTTTCTGACTTTAATAGATATATATGTATTTGGAAAATAATAATATTAGAAACCCTAAAAAGTTCTTCTGTGGCGAAATTACCTATGTTTCGTGTTCACACGTGGCTAATCAATCATGCAAAATATTTGCGGAAGAAATGATAGCATGTCCAATCATAAACCAGGGATATCTATTTTCCGTAAGCGCGGTTTTACACATTGTCACTTCCGGTTCGGGGACAAGAAACTGACACTTGAATATTATAACGAATTATAGGCCCAGCAGTCAGGGGATTTCATGTTGATCCGCCAATGCTGGATCAACAAAGTAAAATTAATGTTGAATTCAAACCGTCCAAAAGGATGAAAAAGCGTCGAGAACTGGATGCTTTGGTTGGAAACGGTAAAATACGGCGGAAATCTAAAAGTGGTCATGAACTTCTGCGTTCTGACAGCGAATCGTCCGAGATCGACGAATTTAGTCTCTCGGCCCAGAAATCTTTCATGAGGAAGTAAGTTTAAGTACTTTTGTGACAAAACTGTCATATATTTAGATCAAGTCGGTATTTATAAATATGTTTGTGTAACTGAATTTCCGTAAATTTCATATGACGTAGCCACTGGACGTAGCTAATTATCTCCATGTCGCTTGTTTACATTGATGACATCTACAATATTGTTTGACAGTACTGATAACGTTTACTGTATCAAGTTGCGTTTAATGCAATCATTAAACTTACAAATTCAAATAACTTTCGATTCATAACACATTCATTTATGTCTTAATGATGGGTAAATCGTACATTATTGAGCGTAAATTTCTAGATATTTTCACCATTTGTTGAACGTGTCATTTTCATATATATATTTTCGGAAATAAGAAAGTACTGTTATGAATAAATTAAAACATAATTTACAATATACTGTGCAGATTTTATCTCCATTTTAAAATATCCGACTATTTTTAACAGTAAAGGACATGGCTCGGCAGGATGTTCGTGTATAAGCGTTTTCGGCATCTTCCTGGTGGGCACGTGCTTACTAGCATGTGTGGCTCTATTGTGGATGCACTTTCAAATGAAACGGGACCTTGATGAAATGAGAGACAAAATATCTTCAGGTATATAAAAATGTCACATTTCTCAAAATGTAAAGCGTCATGATGTGGATAATTCAAACTAGATTATTGTACTTGTGTTAAATTAAACTGAACAATAGTATTATAACGGAACTGGGCAATATGTCGATCATCAGCCACCAGGTGCACTCGATTGGTAAATCGCATACCTCAGAGTGGTTATGTGTTTGAATTCCAATCTGACTGTTGCAGTTTTCCCTTTCCTTTTATATTTGGCCCCCAAATTGGCAATTAAACAGAAGGGTAAAGGGTCTGTGTGTCTTCACGGATGAAGACTTGGTTGAAGGAGGGAGGGATGTAGCAGGAGTGGTCTGTGTATAGGTTGATTAGAACATCCATCTAGAGTTCAGAGGTCTCGGGTTTGAAACCTGGTCTGGTTACTGGAATTTTCCTTTATTTAAAGTTAAACAGGCTACTTATATTTCTAGCATACAAAACTTCTTCAAAGACATTGAAGAAATATGAGCTGTTTAGGGCTGTATGAGTAAATTTTGGTGTCAGTTTAAAATTTTGTATTTAGTACATAGTCGATACCATTCATCAAGACTAGTTGAAGAACATCAATAATTTACAATACAAATTAATATATAAATATGTTCATCCATTCCATCTTAATTGTAATAGAAATGATTTGTCTGTACTTTCTTCTTTATTTTGAAAAATTCAACCATCATTTGAAAACGAGAACAAAAATCAAATAAGGAGTACCATTACCCATCATCGGTATGAACACAGTCTATAATAAGTAACACACTAGTTTAAAAAAATAAATGAGAATGGTAATATATTACACACTTGATTGAACTCTAAATGATGAATCTGATCACGTTCCTCACAGTGTGACTTTAAGATTTTATAAAACCATTATATAGAGGTATATGTATGTAAGTAACGATCAATATCCTAGTGTTATGACTGTCAATATCTAACGACTCACGATATAAAAATAAAATGTATTAATATCCAACCACTCCCATTAAACAACTACAATTAATCAATAAATCTATTGACTCTTTAATTAGGTAGCAGTGTACAGTAGAAATGGCCTGATCCTAAAAATAAAGGGCATGTCTAAGATACATGTATATGGATTTGTCCTGCATAATACACCTCCATATACAGTGTATAATAGGCATGTATTATGAATTATATTTTGATTGAAGCTTTAGAGAAATGAAAGAAGTATTTTCCCCAGATTTCAGACTTGTGAAAATGATGGTTACCAAATAGTGATTGTCCAAGAATGAAAAAGGGGACAAAAATACTTTATTTATTCTTATTCCCAAATTTGGCCCCAATGTATAGAACTCTTTGTCTTAAAACCTGTCTGAAAATTAAACTATGTTAGATTATGCTACTGTATATATATACTGCTANTATAAATGATTACTATCTCACAATTCCCTATCAATACATGCTATTAAACAACTAAGGAATACGATCATTTTCTGAATATCAATACATTGATGTTCTACAACCCAAACTGTATATGTACCAATTTGCATGACAATCATTTCATATCTCACCTTCCATAACTTCCAATAAACAAAAGCAAACAGATGATAGAGTTACACAGTTTTGTACGATTTTTGTCCGACACTTTGCAAAGAAGACTGGGGATATGAATTTAGGTATTTCAATCTGTAATGTTTTAGTTTATTTAATATGACTGCCTTACTTATAGATGGGTCAATTTCAATGACATTTGGTTTGTATACATATAGTAATTATATATATATAACATGTTTAAGGCCTAGTTCAGTTGTAATTGGATGCATGCATACATTGTATTTACACACAATTGATGCAATTTATACATTCTGATTAGCAAATTTGTTCAGGTTCTATAACTGCCCTAATAAGTCAATTTCAATGAAAGTTGTTATACATATTGACATGTCTCAGGCTAAGATCTATCGTGAATTTGATCCAGAAATATTTACACACAATTGATGAGATTACAATGCTATAATTGGCTAATTGGTTCCATGTAATATTAAACTGCCCAAATAAAATTTCAGCTTCAACCAAATTGGTGTGCACATGCCTAATAGCTTTTGCAAATACACATAATTATCCGTACCAGTATAAATACCTACAGTAAATCTCAACAACAGAGTTTATCTAAATCATGCATGTCTGTATTCTGTAAGCAGCTGGGGTTTTGACTTTCACAAATTTACCTGAGGCTACTTATTTTGGCCAATGGTTCATTGCATATATATTAATTGATGCATTCTTCTTTCGATATAATGGTATACATATTTCATATAAATTCTGTATTATTAACACGTATGCATATGTTGCGAATTTTAGTTGAATCAAGAAACCAAAATGGTTTGGGAGATTATCAAGATCTACGTAACAAGGTTCAGATTGTCAACCAGACAATCCAGGGCGTCAAGTCTGGCGGGGATACTCAGAGGGACCGCATGAACCAGAGGCTGACCAACATAACAAATAAGGTACCAACCTTTTTGTTATTAAAGTATCAGTTGGCATATTTAAATAAATATGTATATGTAAAATTATTTCAAACTGTGTATGTAATTATGAGGACTATGTTTCTACATCCTACATAATCAGGACACAATAGCCATGTACATACTGTATATGCAGTTGAGTTAGATATACCGTACGTATGAATTTTTGACTGATTATGTAACATTATTTACCTTAAATTAATAATATAAATTACAAACGGTACAAGGATGGACAATTTCATATTCAAACTACTAGCTCATAGGAAGATTTTGACCAACATATCTAAACCTATATTTTCCAAAAAAATATTGAATCTTTTAGCTTCGGACATTAGTCTAGATAATGTTGTAGATATTTTTTTGATAAATTTTCAATATTTTTATTGAAATGCTATCATAGTGAAAATTGTTAAATGAAATATACCCATTGTTAGCTCCCTCACTTGCTCTGGTGATTGAGAGCTAAGTTTTCCTTTGTATAGACCCGCCTTTACTATTATTCGTAATCATAAATTTTGATATGCAATATTTCGTCATACTTACTTCAGGCATATGTTGTCTTCCTGTGCTATTTTCAGATCCACCAGTTGTCCATGACAACAGATTCTTTACAAGAAGGGCTGAAAGCAGCTCCAGAAATAAAGCAGATAGCAATGAAGGTTCCAGTGGTGATATCTGTAAGCAACTTTCTCTGGCATCTTATGGATAGTTTTACAATCATGTACATGTATTCTGTGTGGCATCTTACATTTGTAAATACAGTTTTACGATAATGTATTACGTGCTAACTAGCGAAAATAACACTCCTGTGAAAATAACTGGCTTTGTTGATAGTTCATCACCTCTATCTACACTAGATTAATGTAAATAGGTGATTTAGTACTGTAGTTATACATCTCATGTAGATAATATTTTATTGTACATTACATATTTCAAGCAAAACTAGTTTATTCTTAATTTATTTCATAATTATCTAAACTAACTGCACAGGATTGAAATATTATATCTTATTCAAACATTTGACAAATGTAGAAAATATATGATTTAATATGAACCATATTTTGATATAACATTGTAAATCTGATAACTTCTCACTGTAATATTTGGCCTTACAGACTGCAGCGAAGCTGGGAGTGAACGTGAAATCCATGCAGACCACAATAAATGATTTGTTGGAATTCAAGAAAAGCACTGAGACAGAGCTAAAAACAATAACAGAATCGGTAGGTGGATAGGTTTTGAAACAATCTGTTTGCTACAATTTGTTGATTGATCCCTTAGGTACTTTACCTGCTTTAATAATCTTGTCCTTTATTTCTGTAATTTGAAACACAAATAAATTCAATATTTTGGGTATTTCTGTCATTGTCAGACATGTTGGTTACCATTTCCAGACCAAAAAATTACAGTCACAAATATAGATAACAGATCTAACAATGTTTCTGTTTGTACAATACAGATGAGTGAGTCGGTGCCCACCTCCTCGCCTGGGGACTCTTCCAGCGTTGACCAAAACTTTCGCGAAGACACATTGGATGTAAGAATACCTGTAATCAGTGGATGAAACACAATCAGCATTACTCTTATAAAACATGTCTATTCTTATAAAGTGTTCTTTTATACATTCTCAAAATATGTCTTTGTGTATTGGTTGAATAAAATTTCCTTTAAAGACAAATTAGCTCAGGGGTTTAGTCATGCCAATGGAGACTGAATCCCCGGGTCATAAGATGTCCTTAAATGACCTTAGCTGTTGATAGGACGTTAAACCCTATACATCAATCATAACATGGAAACTGTCAAGATCTCCACCCCATATAACTGCTTGTTGAAGGTACAGAGATAAACACTTGTGCTACCAGGACTAGCATTGGGATCAGGCCCCACCATTGGGACTTAGTCCCTAGGGTTATAAAGCAAGCCTTTATAAGGACATACCATTAAAAACAACATTTCAGTTATTGAATGCACGTGTTGCCTGCACTGGCAATTATTTATGTTGTCTGCACTGGCAATTATTTATGTTGCCTGCACTGGCAATTATGTTTCCTTGGTATCTCAATATATATTCGTAGCCTGTTCCAAATGTCCAGTTTCACCAATCAAATTGTACGGGAAAGCCCTGTTCAAAATAGCGTTGATTATGCTATTATGTGACAGTATTGAAATGAGGCAGTAAGCACAGGTGATCTGACTGATCAGCTTTTCTGAATATTTTGCTATGATGACTTAAACATCCAGGTTAGCCCACAGGCCATCTGCACTTCTTGTTTCAATCTACATTGTTTACTAATTTGACAATTCTGTTCCAGAAATTCGAAACTATGAGCCAGACGTTGGCCTTTGTGAACAGTTCCTTGTGGAGTAAGATGGACCATCTCCAGCAGGACTTCTTACAAAGACAGGTAAATTGTACAACATGGTCGTGCTAGTCATCACTCTTCCCACAAACTTTTAAGTTACAATCAAGTTGTGTACTCGTGCTCAAGGTTTGTCAGCCTACGGTCATCGAAAGAGTTTTCAGCATTACAAAATACCTTTAAATAGCAATTTTGACACTCACTTGTTCATTCTTGCAACATAAATCTCCCGTAGACCAGATAAACTGTATATCTAGATGTGAACTCTTGCTAAACGGTTGTCAGTCTATAGTCATCCTAAGATTTTTACCCACTAACTGAGGAAACATCTTTGTATGTTTTATAGACTCCATTGTTGAAAAACAATTATGTTTGACTAAATGTCTTCTATTGTCCCAATGTTTTCCTCAGACAAAGTTCATGGAGAATGCTACCAGCTTCCTGAAGATGAAAATGCAGAAGACGAGTGATCCTGATTTTGTAATGAGTGGAGGCACACCTGCCCCTGGTGGCAGAGAAGGGGGAAACAATGAAGGGATGAATGAGGAGTTCATGGATCAAATGGAGGCTAAAGTTCACGACATAGTACACCAGATGGTACGTGTTGTAGGAGGTGGTAGCTCTATTCGCTTCACCCCCCACGACTGCTCGATTTTTTGGTTCACAGATTATGAGTTAAAATGAAACTTGTTCTTGACCTGATTAAGAGTTATATCATCTTTTAGTTACTTCATGAGTTGCCTGTATTACATTATCTAAGTTGTTTTGAAAAATAAATCTTGACACTAAAATATAAGGAGATATAAAAAATCTTAAGAGAAAAAAGAGAAATCTGACAATTGTTTTACCAAAATGGGGCCACGGTGGCAAAGTGGCTAAGGCATCTGACTGTCTATGATCACTAGCCCTTCACCACAGGGTCGCAGTTGTTAAACAAAAACAACAAACCAATGTTTTATTATTATATATATATTTGCTTTTTTGTATAGTTTTACCTGTTAGTTTTGCAATCAAGGATTGCATTATTTTTTTTAGGAAGTCAAATTGTGGTGTTTTTTCATTCTATGGACTAGCATTCACATATTTTATATTTAATAATAATACCCAATGATAACTGTTTTGTAGATTGTGGATATGGAGCTGATGAACAGAACTGAAGCAGATTCTAAAGCACTGGACTCGCTACTCACAAAAATGGATAATGTCACAGCCATCGTAAAGACATTGAGAGACCAGTTTGATAAGGTAATATTCCCTGAGAGACCAGTTTGATAAGGTAATATTCCCTGAGAGATCAGTTTGATAAGGTAATATTCCCTAAGAGACCAGTTTGATAAGGTAGTATTTCCTGAGAGACCAGTTTGATAAGGTAGTATTCCCTGAGAGACCAGTTTGATAAGGTAGTATTCCCTGAGAGACCAGTTTGATAAGGTAGTATTACTTGAGAGACCAGTTTGATAAGGTAATATTCCCTGAGAGAACAGTTTGATAAGGTAGTATTTCCTGAGAGACCAGTTTGATAAGGTTATATTCCCTGAGAGACCAGTTTGATAAGGTAGTATTCCCTGAGAGACCAGTTTGATAAGGTAATATTCCCTGAGAGACCGGTTTGATAAGGTAATATTCCCTGAGAGACCAGTTTGATAGGTAATATTCCCTGAGAGACCAGTTTGATAAGGTAATATTCCCTGAGAGACCAGTTTGATAAGGTAATATTCCCTGAGAGACCAGTTTGATAAGGTAATATTCCCTGAGAGACCAGTTTGATAAGGTAATATTCCCAGGACGTATTGACAACTACATCCACTTTACATTTGGATCTTCTCTGAATTTCTTATAACATTTAAAGTGAGACACTTGAACTGTGGGACAGTACACATTGGGATCAGCAGATCACAGGATCTTGGATCATTATCATCATTTACTTGTGAATTTTTTGTGACAGTGGCAATAAGTGACATCCAGTGAAATCCACATCAAAACCAGCGATAATATATAGCAGAGAAAACGGTGTATCAAGAAAACAATCGATGTGAATAGTACTGTATATATGTATCATGATTGGTTATATCATATTTTATCATGTTTTTGTCAGGTCCAGCAAGACCATGCCTCTCTTGGAAAGTCTGACCAGTCAGAAGGTGTGCAGGGTGACCAGCTGAGTGATCTGAGACAGGACACTGTCACTCAAATACAGGTGAGTGATCTTAGACAGGACACTGTCACAAAAATACAGGTTAGTGATCTGAGACAGGACACTGTCACACAAATATAGGTGAGTGATCTGAGACAGGACGCTGTCACACAAATATAGGTGAGTGATCTGAGACAGGACGCTGTCACACAAATATAGGTGAGTGATCTGAGACAGGACACTGTCACGCAAATATAGGTGAGTGATCTGAGACAGGACACTGTCACACAAATATAGGTGAGTGATCTGAGACAGGACACTGTCACTCAAATACAGGTGAGTGATCTTAGACAGGACACTGTCACACAAATACAGGTTAGTGATCTGAGACAGGACACTGTCACACAAATAAAGGTGAGTGATCTGAGACAGGACACTGTCACCCAAATACAGGTGAGTGATCTGAGACAGGACACTGTGACACAAATATAGGTGAGTGATCTGAGACAGGACGCTGTCACACAAATATAGGTGAGTGATCTGAGACAGGACGCTGTCACACAAATATAGGTGAGTGATCTGAGACAGGACGCTGTCACACAAATATAGGTGAGTGATCTGAGACAGGACGCTGTCACACAAATATAGGTGAGTGATCTGAGACAGGACGCTGTCACACAAATATAGGTGAGTGATCTGAGACAGGACACTGTCACTCAAATCCAGGTGAGTGATCTGAGACAGGACACTGTCACTCAAATCCAGGTGAGTGATCTGAGACAGGACACTCTCACACAAATACAGGCGAGTGATCTGAGACAGGACACTGTCACACAAATATAGGTGAGTGATCTGAGACAGGACACTGTCACCCAAATACAGGTGAGTGATCTGAGACAGGACACTGTCCCACAAGTACAGGTGAGTGATCCGAGACAGGAAACTGTCACACAAATATAGGTGAGTGATCTGAGACAGGACCCTGTCACACAAATACAGGTGAGTGATCCGAGCCAGGACACTGTCACCCAAATACAGGGGAGTGATCTGAGACAGGACACTGTCACACAAATACAGTTGAGTGATCTGAGACAGGACACTGTCACACAAATACAGGTGAGTGATCTGAGACAGGACACTGTCACACAAAAACAGGTGAGTGATCTGAGACAGTCTGAAATACAGTCTTATGTAAAATAGGAAATGTGATGTGTGACTAGGGCTGCACCGATACATAAACATGAAGATATGATACGTATAACTATACTTTGGTCAGGATTTGATACATATCACATATATTAATATACAATATAGTAACAGTAAAAGCAAAGCAAATAGATATGATTCAAATTTTTAATGGGAATATTACAGCTGGGAATACACTTGGTCCAAAATAAGCATGACTTAAAAAGTTAAACACGCCATGTTAGAATGGGTATAAGTAGACAAAACTCAGAAACAGCAAAACTGGAAAAAATTGTAGGTATATTGTGACCTCACAAACACTATTGTTCATCATACCGTATTCAAAATGTCACAATATATTGTTGCAGCCCTATGCCTGACTTGGTCAGTTTATCTCTTCAGCTTAGAATTTTGTTATGCAAGCCTTAGACTAGGTATATATTAACCGTCAAGATTAATTTGGTCATCACAAAATCTGTGAAAATGAAATCAATACATCACTGCTTGTTAATCTAAATTCGAACTTTCTGTGTTATCTGTTATGTTTTGTTCCACTCATGTTACAGGCCATCAACAAGACTGTGCACAATCTGTTACACGACTTTGGTGCCGTGACCGGACAGTACCTCACAATTCACGCTAACCAGGTGAAACTTACGTCCACTGTGGATCAACTCAAGAATTTCCTAGGTGCAATGGATAAGAAAATTAAAGATCTCTCTGGTAAGAAGAATCCTCTGTCAGGGTAATCACACTGATCACTCCCTCATCAAAGTGTCCACAAAAAGACCTGTAAATTCATATTACAAATGTATATAAATGATAGTTTCTGTTTTAATAGTTTAATTCTATCTATTAATTTTAGAAATTATAAGAAATCAATTTCCTTTTTCTCTAGTTTTTTCAACACCTTGAAAACATGTAATCCTTGAAGGATGGTTTGGTTCAGCCTTACAAATTATTCTACACAATATTTGCGAGTGAAATAAAAATCTTTAAACTTGGATAACTGATATTATGATTTGCATTATATACCTTTAACATGTCTTGGCGACCTCTAACATTGCCTGTTCAAGTTTTATGTTGTTTGATATAAGGGTCATAGTTTCCATGCATGTCTAAATTATATTTTGTAATCTTGCTTTGTTTGTCAAACGAGAAACCGGTTGCTACATACAACTGTGCTTAGTTTGTTTATGTCCAGTGGTGAACATGATGCATGAGCTGCATGTCTTTGGTTTTCAGCATCTCAGGAACCCGTTGACACTGGTGAGAGTAAAGTAACCACCCCAATCCCCCAAACAAAACCCCCACAGCAACCTCCCACTGAGGTAGTAACCAAAACACCAGTTACCAACCCAGCTGACCAAATGACTTCTAATAAAAATGACACAGTTGTCTCCCCTACACCACCAGATACAACAACTTTGACACAAGGTAGAGTTTTCAAATATTATATATGAACAAAATATAATTCAATTAGATGGAAAACAATTTTATTTTCATGAAGGTAAACAAAAGATTTACAATAACATATCCATATCCTATTATAAACCTAACATCACCATATCCTATTATAAACCTAACACCACCATGTCCTATTATAAACCTAACACCAGTCCACCGTGTCCTATTATAAACCTAACACCATCACATCCTATTATATACCTAACACTTCCATATCCTATTATACTAACACCATCATGTCCTATTATATACCTAACACCAGTCCACCGTGTCCTATTATAAACCTAACACCATCATGTCCTATTATATACCTAACACCAGTCCATCGTGTCCTATTATATACCTAACACCATCATGTCCTATTATTTACCTAACACCTTCATGTCCTATTATAAACCTAACACCTTCATGTCCTATTATAAACCTAACACCTCCATATCCAATTATACCTAATACTATCATGTCCTATTATAAACCTAACACCATGTCCTATTATATACCTAACACCTTCATATCCTATTATAAACCTAACACCTCCATATCCAATTAAACCTAACACCATCACATCCTATTATAAACCTAACACCATGTCCTATTATATACCTAACACCTTTATATTTGCTTATGTCATTTTAGATAACGATGTTGTAATTGAACTTTTGTTTTTAATGAGGTTGAGTCTCAAATATATAATTCAAACTTTGTTTATATGCCCTACACCTTCTTGTCCAATTATAAACTAATACCTTCATGATCATGATCCATTATAAACTAATACATATACCTTCATTTTAGATTTTAAACCTAACACCTGTCATGTCTAATTATAAACCTAACACTTGAATGTTGACTGTGATGTTAACGTCAAAGATGGCCACTTTGGATTGGCTTAGACATTAAAAACACTTCAATGGGTGAGCTTCTGGTATAACTGTGCCGTTGGCTTACAGTTCCTGTTTTCTATTTTTCAATTCCCCTTCTCCAGGACTGTCCAGCTTATGATGTGATGTAGTGACCGGCATTACCTTCTGTCACCCTTTTTTAAAAGTCTTGATTTAAAACGAAAAATTTAAATAAAGTATTCAAAAATGTATCCTTGGAAACAGAATCAAACCTTGTGGAGCCCAAAAGGGGGACACGGTGGATTTCAGTCTCCAAAGATTTTAACCAAACCAAGCATTAGACGTGACCCATTTAAGTGAAGGCTATGATCCCTGGGAATTAATAACCTATTGTCATGTAAAGGAAAAAAGTAGCTCTCTACAAGCTTTTATTAACTTTTCCTCTGGACATTTGATCACATTTCAACCAAATCTATTTTGAAGAATCTTTTGTACAAGGGAATTAAAACTAATTGTTTATTAAAAATAATATTGATATTACCTAAAGGTATTGAGTTGTACCATGGGTACAGAGAGGTGGATCCCAAGTAGGGAAATACTTGCAATTTTGAATTTAAGGATTACTAAAGTTTCCAGGTCAGCAATATAGGCCTTCTGGGTCTTTTGTTTCGAATGAATTTGACCTTGGCCTACTTTCAAGGTCACAGATGTGAGATGTGATTGCCAACACCATTCAATATGATGGGAGTGATGTAAGCCCATTGGGAATCTGGTTTGACAAATAGTGTTTCACTGATTGCAAAAATGAGAAACATACATTACCTACTTTTAAGATGTAATTATGTGTGAATATTGTGTTTCAGAAAGCGGCCAATCAGACATTCCAACTACTCCAGCACCGCCACCTCCACCACCACAATTTCCTTTGGTGAAGATTCCAAATATCAACAATTTTCAAGGTAAGAGTCCATCTCCAAAAAATTCAACTTGGATATATATTTAACAATTTCTGTTTTAAACATCATAATATTATTGTTTAATTGGGGCTATCTTTCTTGGTGCAGAATTTTTACAATGTACATGCGTAGATGCCCTACCATGGCCAACTTGTATAAAACATCTCAACTCTTGAGATTTCCTCAAGTCTTAAGATTTCCCATAGACAATACATTGCTTGAGATTTTCCTTAACATTGAGATGTTTTATACAAGTGGCCCCATAGCAACAAAACTGCATTCACTATGCCAAAATAGCGAAAATTTGCTGTTTTTGAACAGTTAGCATGTAGAAATGAAAGCCTCTGCATGTGACAAACAAAAATTGCTTTCTGCTATTGAACACTGGTATGACAGTGTTTAAGCATGTCAAATATTTATTTGTTTGGTGTATTGGGAGGCTTTCAAAACTTGGAGAATGTTTAGTTCATTTCCTTCAGAATGACAAAATTTTAACCAAATAGCGCACAACAGACGATACTCACTCATTTTATTATAAAAATGCAACTTTATGTCGTTCTTTGTAATGCCATATATCCTACACCAGTTGTCAAATAAATTTGAAATTTCATATTTTCCTGCTTATTTTATTCCAGATTATGAATATAACAACTAATTATAAATCCACGTTGAGGCTGTAAATGACGCATATTTTACCGCAAATAAGCCCCCTTCTCACTTTGGCAAATTTCCTGGGAACAGGGTGGGTGCCTGCAATTCGGCCCCTTCCCTAATTTTGTCTCCATCTCAAAAAAAAAAGTCTCTGACATAGGCAATTTAGCTAACATGTTTTACCGCCAATAACCCCCTCCCTCCTGAGAAAAAAGATTGAATTATCGAGACCGATTGATGATAGAAAGTCAGTTTAGAAAAACAACAGCACCATCAACTAATCAACTCTTTTGGTGACTGTTATAAAATATTCTGTCTGTTAGTTGTTATTTTTACAACATGAACAACTAAAGTGTATAAGTACATGATATTTAGTGTGGTCATAGATCAAAACAGTGGTATATATATATCCAAGATGGTGGACATTTGTGAACAGGGGGGTTGCTCGCAATTAAGCCCCCTCCCTACTTTTGGTCTATGTTTTTTCACTAGGGGTGGGGGCTTATTTGCGGTCATATACGGTAATGCCCCTAATCCTTTGGGGAATATATGCATTCTAACAATGGACTGTCATTGTTTTCCTATCGGTTCCATATATATGTTAAATTTGATTATTGTCATGTTGTAGATCTGGAAATGAACTTCAGTCGCTGGGACAAAGATGGAAATGAACATGTAGCACGGGAGGATTTGGATGGGTTTATGCCAGAGATTCCCTCTGAGGAACTGCTCAAACCGTACGACATGAACAACGACGGACATTACACTCTTGATGAAATGGCTGCAGCCATGGGATTCACTAATCCAGACCAAGCGCGTAAGTGTTCTCAAAGTCCATTTTAGGAGTTAAAATTTTGAATTGTGATCCAAATATTGTTGAACACTTTACATCCAGTGCCACTATTATAGAGGGTTTGGGATAAGAAATAGAATGTTATTCTACAGAAGAAAAAAAAGCTTAATATAAAATGTGTGGGGTATAGCAATGTTATAGTCATACAGGAAAAGTTGTAAGCCATTTTGTAAAACCAATTCTCAATCACATAGACGTGTACTGACCAGCTCAAGGGATTGCTGAACATGATAAAGACATGACCTCTTACAGACTTGTAATTATGTCAGGATTAGCAGAAAGAGGTTTACGAAAAGGAACTTGTGCTCTAATTTGTATTTCTTCTTCTTTGGCATTACAGAACCAACAGAGGAGTCGGAGACCAATGGTCAACATTGAGCCGAGTGATGGAGACCAATGGTCAACATTGAGCCGAGTGATGGAGACCAATGGTCAACATTGAGCCGAGTGACCAATGTGGGAAGACGTAACACTTGTCTGTGATATTCATCGTCTGCCTGTGTGGCAGATTGCCGTTAGAGGTTCACCCAGGACCAGCAGGGATGTCGGACCTCGAGGTTTCATTTGTTGTGCCAAACTTTACTGTGGTTATATCCCATGATAGGGCGACAGCGAGGAAACAGATCGTGTATATATATGGGTGACAATATTGGATAAAACACTCTTCATCATTTTCTTTCCATTCTTTTCAAAGAATATTTCAAACATAGGTGAATTAAGCTCAATGTATTATAATGATGGAAATGGAATACATTTTCTCTGGCAGATGTTGAGTTGAGTTGAGTTGCGACAGGGAAATACAGCCAGATGACATTACTCTATAGTTAGACCTGACCTTCCTTTATATTGTGAATTAAATATCATTTCAAATATAGCAAAGAGAAAGCAATGTATATATCATACTCTGGTCGCAAAAGAAATATTTCTCGAGTCAATCTCATTAAGTGATATTTCATTCTACCCTCCTTCCCATTATTCCTAGTAAAACAGTGGAATTTCACAGAAAAGCAATCATATTCAGAAAACCAGGGCGCAAATTATAAGACCTTTAGCTGATCTTTATGTTGGTGAAAAGACGGAGCGTAATTAGAGTCCTTGATCCTCTCTCCCTATAAACACAGACAGCATGATCCTATGTCCCTATAAACACAGACAGCTTTCCCTCGCACCAGTTCCACCACTCCCCTGCCTCACCTCCGCGTCCCACTTCAGTCACTTCCCCGTCCCACTTTAATCAATACCTGGTCCCACTTTAATCATAACCAGTACACATTAAAGAAATTAAAAAATCAAAAGTATGTGTGTATAACCCAAGTCCTGTTCTTCTACCTTCCACTTTAATTTGTATGTCTGTTAAAGAACAACATTCCAGTTACCATTTTCAACAAGAAATTGTTTTTGGGACAAATTTTGTGATATGATATATAACCTTGTTCTTTGATATATAGTTGTATCTATGTCTTTGTAAATGTCAGATTTTATATTTGAGTCCCCCCACCCCCTCCCCATCATTCGATCATATTTTATGTGAACCATGTAGCTACCAGAGTTAATAAAAATCACAGTAAACACTTAATCTGAATCTGTAATTTAAATGTTTTTGATTCTATAGAGATAAATAGAAGTTTACTCTCTTGATTTATGAAATTGTTATTTATTTTTAAGACCCATTCCCTTGTTTGGTATTTAAGGCATGTTTGAATTGCTGTATAAACGCATACCTCGTCCACCAGATCCACATAATCAGGTTTCCGACATGAAATTAATTACTGTTGTGTGGTACAAGAAAATCTTCTAAAAAGTTGATTGCTTACAAAAACAACGAAATGATAGTATCTATTCAGGTATTCAAATATTATCCACCCACACCCATACCCACCCTCACACGACTGGTCAGGACCCCAGGCTCGTTCTGTCCTTCATGGTCCAGAGTACTTGTATCCATGGTTTACGAATTATTTGGGGTGAATCTAATGGAGGGGGACAACCCCTACACCACATGCTCATGTAGATGTTTATGTTAGGCTGCATCCAAATCATCTGGTATATATGTATAGTGTAATGGTCTGATAAATCATCAACTCTAAATAATACTAATACAGGTCAGCCGAGCTCGGTCTCGTGGGTGTATATAAACTGTTTGTTGTTGTTTAGATGGTTCTATAGCAATAAGTATTGATGTCATTGTTATTATTTCTGTCGGTCATGCGGAGAATATATTACATATTTTGAATTAATCGTGATATTGTTGCTGTTAGATATAAATGGTAGCCAATGAGTTTTTTGCTTTTTTTCCATCACACAGGCTCTGGTGTATGTAATGGTAGACAGGTAGTGTTTCTTGGGAAGAGTTAAATTACCGTTAATGTAGGGATATTTTAAAACAAAATAATTGTTTGAATTTGAATTCCTTTTCTAAATTTTTGAAATATCCTTCTGTTCTGTGAACCAACTTATGTTGCTCATCCTGTGACCGTACTTTCGTCACACTCTGTGCTGCACTTACAACGTTTATTATGTTAGATAAATATTTTCATGGTATACACAGACAGTCACACAGTTGAAATTTCAAATTTTCGTTTCAAACTGTTTTATTGAAAGTCATAAGAATGAAAGTGTAATTTATTCAAAACTTCTTGATATTTATTGCATACTACCTATAGACAATCATTGGCTATGAAATGAAATTAAAGTTTGTAAAAACTTAACATTATCTGACATTAAATTTTTGTTATAACGTATATATGTGAGCATTTCAGGATGCAGACTGTAAAAGTCTCTTTTATATAAATAAGTATATTAACTGTACAGCAAGGGTAGAAAGGTGGCGTACAGGTAAGATATTGCTGTAATGTAAATTTTTGTGGAAGGCTTTGTACTTAATTACAGTTATGCAAAGTGCTGTGTGCTAGGAGACGAACGAGAACGATGCGAGGAAGTGACTTGAGATACAATTGTTGTATGTGTGGCGCTATTGTCTTTATAACCGACTCAGCATCTCGTCAGATGCATCAGTTTTTGAGTGGGCACGTCACGATGGTCTGTTGTTGTACTTGGTGTATGTTGTCCACACCATTTTAACAACATTGCTGTAAGTGGGTGTAGATGCCTTATAGGCTTGTGTTGAAATAATACTTTTACCCAGCTGTTTATAGGATTTAGAGAGATGGGTTATGTAGACCTGTATCCATGGATGTCCACGACCGATTTACTGTGGGACTCTGTGCAAACGATTTTTCCTAATCTTTGCGTGATTTCCTGATCTAAAATTTCACCCTTACGTTTAATTTTGTATATTTGTTAAATTATTGATCACTAGGTGAAATTATGTCAAACAAATATGGAACCTCAGTGGACCGGTGTCAATTTGTAATAGAAAATCTGTGTCTAATATAAGGTTTTCAATGGAGTCTATTTATTGTGTTCTCGTTTAAGAGATACACAACATGTGTAAGACTTGAAGGATCAAGTGCTATTGTAGAATTTGTTTTACAGTCTAGATTTATTTTATGAAAATTATAAATTCATTCCTAAATCATGAAGATCAGCTGACAACGTCATTTTGTACTTGATTACCGCAAAAAAAGAAATGAACATCTTTTTCTTTAATTTAAAACGTAAACCTTTATTAGTATATTTGGATTGAAAAAACATTAAATTTAATTCCAGCTTGTTACAAATTTAATCTTTAGAGGTAGATTCTTTATCAAGTATTTAGTATTTATTTAGTAATAGGATTTGTTCAATAATGGAAAGTAATTATAAATGCTGTGAGTTGTTTTGAAGTGCTTTACATTGATGATTGTATGAAATGTACATGTATCTAGTCACAACATAACACTGCTTGACGTGCATTGTGGGAAGTGTGTTTTTGAAATGTTTCCGTCAAGTCTCAATCTGTTGTATGCTAACAGACTCGGGGGCCTTTCACTTCACTTTCACTACCAGGTTGCAGTCCCACGAAACATCTTAACTCTTTCACCCCAGAAATTTCATAATGAACTTTTCCAACCTATGAATTGGAAGAGTTAAAATTTGTCTTCAGGGGTGAATGAGTTGAACCATATTTTTTTCTTTGAAATTTCCCCTCAGGGAGAGCATTGTTCAAGCTTTTGAAAAACAATCCTTTTTTATGATTTTTCATGAAACTTGGGCTAGAGCCAATCCAGATACATATTTAACTTAATTTAGTCAGGAACCAGAGATTCCCATCGTAGCCTAACAAACTGATAATCTGTATGATTATATACTAACAGGTTTTTTTATGTCCTACTTCCCGGTTAATAAAGTACCAGTAAATATTCCTTAGAGTCCTGTAGATTATTTCTATGTCATGTTAATTTGACTTTCAAGTAAATCTGCCTTAACAATTTATCTTAAATTTAAGTGTCACATAAACATTTTATTACATGAAGACTTGGGGCCTGTTCGTTTATGGGGAACAACCGGTTTGTCTGTTTTTAAAAGTAACATTTTCAGGTATAAATCCTGGCGGACCTGCCTTGTAAGGCTTTGCCAAGGCATGTCTGAAAACAGCATCAGATTACTAGGTCCGGCCTTATTTCATAAACGAACGGCTCTGGTCCAACCAATTCAACCATTTGGATCGCAATAAATGAAAGCGGACATGCATGCTTAGTGAAAAAAACACAACTCGGAGTCTTCACAGACAGATACAGAAAGGTCTAATAACGGAATTTAGCATGTAATAAAAGTAATCTCCAGGATAATGTTAGATTGTTTGTTAGGTATGTTATAGCATGTTTTTATTTGGAGGGACTTAGTACTGCATCGTTGTCCGTATGTTATTGCTTTGTCCAGCTATATATGTGCGAAACTTGAATTTAAAAAAGGGGAGGCAATTCAGTTTGAATTGTTATAGTAAATCAATCAGGTGTGTTGATTTGTATTGCTAGTAAAATGTACTAGTATGTTTGGAACTAGAATTATATAATGTTATCGATTTTAAGACAAAAATTGCTAGTGACAATAATATTCCCAGTTTCGGATTCTTGTAAAGTGATATAAGTGTGAACCTTGTTTTAGTTAGCATTATCGTTACATTACTCCAATGTGTACTGAAGGAGGTCATCTCCATAAAGCTTATTATCTATTAAAAAAAAAAAAAAAAAAAAAACTTGAACAGTGTTAATCCAATTTCTGTGTTTGAAAAAAAATGGTGCAGTATATGGTGTACTCCATCAATAGGGCCAGATACTTTTAACAAGCGCCATTGACATAATCATATCCGATATCCAACATTGTGTCAAAAATTGTCTGGGTTCAGTCATTGTTTCCAAAAAGTGGCATGTAGACCATAAAATGTGTCATGTTCATAAAATCTATTTACCATGCTAGATAACTTATTCTGACCAAAACAGTAAAACCTTGTTATACTGCAACCATTTCTCAGAGAAATTTTGGCGTTATAATGTGGTTTGGCAATAAATTGAGGGAAATGTATACATGAATTCTTCAGAAAACAGAGAAAAATGGACACTGAAATATATTGGCGATAAATGAGGTGGCAAAAGAGAAGAGGGGAATTATATCAAGGTTTTACTTTAAAGTGACAAAAGAGGGGCGTTATATCAAGGTTTTACTGTACCTTCTAAATGCTGAGTCCAACTCATTACTTCCTAGAATGGTGATGCCGACACCCACATGTATTGTACTTTAAAGATAATGAACCAAAGTCAGACCCATATTCATAAATCAGAAAGCTAGCACACTAAAAATTCATTGTTATTTTTGTGTACAAATCCGAACACTTCAGGGCCTGTGTCTGGGCCCTGTGTAGGTAAGTCTTTACCGAGACAGGTAGTGCTGGCGGTATTATGGTAAACCCTTGTGGGTATTGTGGTGTTATTGAGTGATGTAATATTATTATTGTATGAGAGGTGTACAAGTGAATTTTTAATAAAATCTCAGTAAAAGTTTCATTGAATTCAGTTTTCAATTTCCCTGTCTTATTGATTAGAGGGGGGTATTAATGTTCTACATCCTGCTGTCCATCCAGATCCTTTCGTCATTCAAATATGAGGAGGGCATTCTTGCTCAAAATACAGTAAGTAAGAAAAAGCAGTAAAATAGTAAAAAGTGTCACATGTATCAATTTACTTGCATAAAAACATTCAAGTAAAAAGCATTCCCTTAAAGTTGTCTTTTTGCATCAAACGAAGTATGTCATAAAATCATAAAATTGACGTACTTTCCCTAAATATGTTAGCTATATTATATAACATGCGAGTAATTTCGGGAAGATTCAATATAATCATTCAAATATTTTTTTATTTGCGTGTCAAACACATAAGTTCCTATTATAAACGTTACAATACAATGGTTAATAATTTTATATAAAATGTGTCCAGCCTTGAATGGCTTTCTAGAAACAATTAAAAGTCGATATTAATCTGCAATAAAATATCAATAACACAGTGTAGAATTGTCCTGGGTATTTATGTGATCCATAAGGTGGGAGTAAAATATCAAAAACACTGTGTACAGTTACACATTTAATTGTATACAATACAGTACCTATGTATGTGATGCTAAATAAGATCACAGACTTGTATAATCTAATTTCGTGATTAAATTTATCTCAAAAATATAATTGAATGATGAGATTAAAAAAAAAAATGTGTCTCCCTTTACATGTAGCATACACAAGTTATAATTAGTTAAATAATGAAAATCATTTCGATCCACTCTCTTAGCATACTTAGTTGTGTAATTTGTGTACAGTTAAATAACACGAAACACCTGTGTCCAGTACTGACAGCAGGAGGCCCAAGACACACCTATATACCTTTGTACAGGTATTCAATTTCTTTATTTTCCAAATGCAACAGATAGCATATAGGAGTGTAGAATTATCCTGGGTATGTGATCAATAAGGTGTGAGGAACATATCAATAAGATGGTGTAGAATTGTCCTGGGTGTGTGAGTAAAATTTGTAAACAATCGCACGACAAATGTTTTAATTACGTCGTTAACAGCTGAGAAATGACACGTTATCAAAACATGGTCTCCATTCAAGGTACAGGTGTACTCGTGGCACGCGCCATGGTGTTTACAGAGGCACGTGCCTGGTGATATGACAACACTGGTTGCAAACACAATATGATATAAGTGTGATATACCCGAGTATATCTCGGTGGTCTACCGTATATAGCTGTCCTTATATCGCCTCACAACACACACTTCCTTTACCGTTACCTCTGTATATCGGTAGAGTCTGCATCACACACTGTATCTGTACGATAGTCGTATTGTTTGTATACAAGATGGATAGACAATCACTCCTACACATCTACCAACATTCCAGGTAACGTCCTCAGCTAAACATGCAAAATTAGTTGTAGTTGAAATCAGGGACCTGAGAATTTGTTCCAGCTATATGTGGACCTAACTACACGTTTAAGGGTTCCGATCATGCCAACCCCAATGATTGACTCGTATTTTGGTGACATTTATACCGAAAGTTGATATACACGCCTAAAACGTGTAAAATTACTCTGGACCTTAGTCTCAGGTCACTGTGGTTGACGCCACAGGTGCTGGACTTACTGTTATGTACTTTTACTATAATATGATATAAACACAACGTCATATTAAGTGTGTCCAGCACCTTAGGTTGATATTTGAGCTAAAATGTATCATTATTATTTTTCTGAGGGTGTCCAAATATCACGTCACCTGACATGCTACTCTATCTCGGCTCTGGCCATGACTTACCCTACGTTTTTGATAACGTCGTGACTCTTTATCGATTAATTAATTAATTTCATTTTTTTGTTAATTTTTACCGTTTTTCTCTTTTTCACTGGCAAGCCAGAACTATTTTGAGGTACCCGATTCGGTCATGCAATGTTCTGATTTCTTTTCATACACACTTTAGTAATGACATGCATTTTGGTTCTTCTCATGTGAAGTGGTACGAAATCCGCATTCCATTTATATTTTGTTATTTAACGTTTATTTGTGCTATTCATCAAAAAAACACCTCAAAGTGTGTAAGTAAATGTTGTAGTAAATATACTTTTTAATGAAATTCCATTAATAATGCATGTTCATGTTTGATTCATTGCGAGAACAAGTTTTCACGTAAGGTCTGATGGCACATACTTATTATCAAAACGTTTTATTTTGCAGCGGGGAAGCGTCACGCAACGTCATTCTGCCCGAGGAGACGACCATTCCGCCGGCGGACGATTCCGGCGACTCCAGCTGGGGAGTCATCGTTCCCGTCATCCTCCTTGGCTTGTTCGTAGTCAGCTTCATTATATTTCTTTGTCGCCATTGTATTCGAAGAAAGCGACGACGCAGCCCATCTGACAGCACCGCCACGTCACTTGGCCGGTTTTCTCGAAGTCTCGTCGGCAGCTCGACGACTGGAATAAGCTACATTCACAGTACGACTAGGTCGACGACACACCTTTCGTCCAACCTACGTGTTGACCAGGCATTCGTCATGCCGATGGCACCTCAGTACATGTTCTACTGTGAAAATGGCATCTGGAAGCTTTGTACGAACAGCGTCGACAATACACGTGGTCATCTCAACCCACTCTCCGCCATGGACGAGGTAGACTCGTCCTTCATGTCAGAGGATGTGTACATGGACGTTTCCAAAATTGACGACGTCAGCGCACAGACGCCTTTTACACAAAATCCTACGACGTGGGCGACACCACAGGCGCCGCCGCCGTCTTACGAGGAATCTGAGGCGGGATCCCCGGATAAACGCTTCCGACTTATGTTGGTCAATACCACAAACAGCGAGGACACATACAGTACATGTCAGACTTTCGACAAGGACGCATTCCACGTCCACAATAACACGCCTGCTACAGACGGTGAGTACTCGGCAAGCAGTATGAGTTGCCCTCAGATACAAAATGCCGCTGCATCCGGTGCTGTGCCATCTGAGGCACTAATGAACACCAATCTTACCATATCTCATATGACGTCATATCCGTCGACACTGCTATCGTCCACCGACGCCAGTCTTTCGACCTCTAGTCTAGACACATGGGAGGAGGACGACACATCATTCGTGACGTCATACCACGACAGTAGTTACTCTATTTCAAGACGAAGAGGGAACAATGCGTCAACAGCGCATGGAAGTCAGCAAGAGAGCGAGTCGAGCGGGGTCCCAAGCCTACCAAGCAGTATATTATATTTCCACCAGAAAATGGCCGGCAATAGTAACGCGGGGTTGATAGAATGTCAATCCAGACGGTTGAGTTATCCTTACAACTACAGCATAGCCAATACCAAAAGTTGGGTCGAGTCAGACTACATGGAGCACACATGCTCATCAATGATTCCGAACGTTGGCGACGATTCCAGAAACCCTTGCATGTCAACGCCCATACCACATAGCAACGCCCGTGGGTTATTGGAGCAGGGTATACGTAGTCAGGCATGTTTTAGTCGCTGTGACATGTCACCACTTCGTGGAGGTCATAATCGCAACCTTGTGGAGCCAATAGCAAGTGGCAGTGTCTTGGACGTCAACCAGTTTTCGACGCCGACCCGAGTCGGCACGGCGTACTGGGTCTGAGGTTTTTAATCTCGTTGCATGCTCCAGTGGTTGAGTTGTAATGGGGACGACCCGGTGCTGTACATAGGGAGTACAAACACTTATTGGGAGTGAAGTGAAGTTGGGGTTGAAGTTCTGTTATATATATATAAATGTGTTGATGCTGATGAACAGAATCGGTGAAACAAATGCTTAAGACGAAGTGCTACTACCGGAACTGCACGGGTGGACACCCGGAAGGTGCTATTTATGGAGATATTAGTTTCTGCTGTACATATTAATCCATTTAATGGATTCGTCCTCAAATGTGTTTATTTTTATTTGATGTACAAATTGTTATCGTCATCAGATGTATGTAATTTGTAAATAGTGTATAAATTGTTTAATATAATTATCCCCTACTGTGAGGGTATGAAAGAGAAATATCAACATGGGGGTGGGGNACTTGTATACAAGCTCTGGTATATTTTCCGCACATATTGTCAATAATATAAGCCAGCATAATTGTTTAAAGATGAAGTAACTGTTGCTATATTCAATAAAGACGATGAAAATGAAAGAATTATGTTCTGCATTTGTTTATCGCTAAAATTTACATATTGCATTGAACACGGCGGTCGGGTGGCTCAGTGGATAACGCTCTTGTCTTTAACCAAGACAGCCGGGGTTCGTTTTCCCGATCAGACCTGAAAAATATTGGGTGACCTTTCCGACCACGTGGGAATTCTCCGGCTACTCCGGTTCCGGTTTCCTTCCACATTCAAACCATCGGCGTGCTCCTGTTCAAGCCAACAGGATTGGTTAATATTAGCTGTAAAAAACTTGTTTGGTCATTGTTGATAAATGAATGAACCTTATATATACAGATTGTCCAGAAACAGTGCAAGTTATAAATTATATGTATAGAAAGATAAAATATTGTAGACTTCCATTTTTGTGAAAAAATAAATAAAGATGAAATAAACAGACCTAACAATGTTCTGTGTTAGAAGAGTAAAAAGTATGATCCTGCGAGACCAGGATTCGAACCCTAGACCTCAAACACGAAACAGTATCAGCAATCTGTCCGACTGTTGCTGCCCATCTTCTTAACTAAATGGTTCAGCTCTGGGTACATAACTCTTCTATGAACCTGCGTGTTGAGAAGATATGCAGATTGGGTGCGCAACCCTTGGGATTCAAATATGGTTGCTTCCTTGCCAAGTATCGCTACAGTTATATCAAAACTACGTTATAGAATTATTTCGTTTTTACTTGTATTAGGACAAAAATCGTTGAAACGCATCCTAACGTCCTCTTTATTGGAAAATAGCCACGTTGTTGTTTATCTATGTCCGTGATGTAGAACAGGATGCCTATTTGTACTGTTAATCGGGGATTACAATACGTTTACTGCTGAAATTCAATTGTGTGTGAAGAAAGTTTCAATGCTACTGTTTTGTTTCATTGTCACGATATGACTGTGACAAATATAACTCGATCACCGACAGCTGTAGACTAGACTGCTGTAAATATCATTATGAAACAATAAAAACGTATGTATCGATTCTCCACATTTAGTTTTAATTCATATTGGATTGCAAAAAAATACCGAATTAACTGCGCCGCTTTCGTTTATAGCGATCCAAACGGTTTGACCGTTCGGACCAGAGTGATGTTCCTTGATGGAATGAGAGCGGACCTGTTAATATGATGCTGTTTTCAGGCGAGCCTTGAAAAAGCCTTCCAAGGCATGCGTTAACATTTTTAAAGGTCCCTGCACTACTGCCAAATTGTGTTACTATAAATTTGCATTTTTTATCTGTATCATTCAAAGCTTTAATAAATCGTTTATGAAAATAAACTCATATCATATGAAACTTTTATGAAACATGTTATGAACATGTAGACAGAAGTTTTCTAGGTGTAAAAATGCCATAAAGTCAATCCGGGTTTCGAACCCTGGACTCCGATCACAATCCGGTCGTTCTAGCCAAATGTTTAGCGGTAGTTCCCTGGCCTAGGTCCACTACAGTTATATCCAAAACGATATTAATAGGTTACCGTTTGTATGAAAAATGACGACTCTTTAGTGTTTTGCGTACAGAGGGACAGGGCTACTTAATTAATGACGAGACAATCCACAAATACTGATGTATCATATTCAATACCAGGCTTACTTGGTAGGGATCGAATAAAAGATTCCATCGAATTCATAAGAATGTGTATGTGTAGAGAGATAATGTGTGCTATTAGTAACATCGATGTATTAATTTAGATATCGGGTGATGATAGGGATTTCGACCATTTCCAAATTATTACCCGATTTTCTCAATTGTCCCCGCCCCTCTGTCAGCATCATATTCAATATCCTATTTTTTAAGAACCGATCGTCTATTCCAAGTGAACGTTTCAGATCATGGTTACAATCCATGCAGCTGTTTGGAAGGAATAGGCTTTTGAATAAAATTCACCCAATAATTTCCCCTGTAGGGATCAGCCATTCCACAAGCTCCACTTATCCTTCGGTATTCAATACTTGCACATCCCCTCATAGCCATTATAATAAGAATGGGAAACGTGACTTACAAATGTTTAGCCTGTTGTCAAATAATACGACAAAATGCTTAATCTTTGTAAACAGTTTTGTTTAAAACAAGAAAGTTTTAAATTTCATAAAGAAAGCTGGAGAAGTCGGACAAGGAGGGACAAAGTCACTTGAATTGCCCGACTGACAGGTAGTCACCAGGGAGAGTCCATATTATGTTAGGGGAGCGAATTTTATACAAAATATAGAACGATTCTAATAATTCAGGAAAAGGAGTCATAACGAAAATGAACAATACTTTATATGCGAGTTAATAATATAAAGTGTTCACATGGAAATTTTCACTTCAGACGCCGTAATATTGTACAGGCAATGCTAACCACCTGCTTCCCCTTTGGATGTGACGCTAATAGACCGTGCCGCTTGGTCAGTGTACGTGTGTAGATGACCACTGGTGTAGCTTCCTGCTTAGGAAATCAGACACACTGGAGGAAATGGCCACTAAAGGTATGTACTTATGATTTAAGTCATTAATCGATAGTTCAATTAGAATACCTAGCACCGATTGACTGATAGAAATGGAACAAAGATATGTCCAGCACAATTGTGATTTCCCTAAGTAACTGTAAGTAGATGATTATAAAAAATTAGGAATGAGGAAAACAATGACACGGCCAATGTTTAAAATCACATACGTTACCCAATACAGATGATCATATGCATTATCAAAACATGGTCTCGATTGATATTCTAGATACAGGTGTGCTCGTGGCACGCGCCATGGTTGTTTACAGAGGCACGTGGCACGTGCTTGGTGATATGACAACACCGGTTATACACACCTATACAGTATTATTAAGTTGTGATAAACCCGAGTAGCTCCTCATGTTTCCTCACAGCACTTTCGTCTGCTGGATAACCGAACTACTCGGTAGTGGAGCGGACGTAAAACCAATCAATCAATCTCACAACACTGTTACCACATACCTCGATCTCATTTGTTGTTGTTTCTGATTGACCAGTAATATTATATCATTATATTTGGTATGCAACATGAATAGACCATCGCTCCAACAAATCTACCAATAGTCCAGGTAACTTCATCAGCTTAGCTAAAATAATCCACAAGCAACTTCCTCTTATACTTTCTTTTTAAACTTGTGCAAGTTTGGGGATGGGGGG